ATTTGAGATATACCATCTTTGAGCAATATGGAGGTTTTGTCTCTCCGCACATAACTCTTTTAAACTTTCTTAATTGCCAATAAAGAGGTCCAGACATATCTTTACTATACCGATTCTGCTGATAATCTTCTATAAAAAACTCAATGTGTCTCCATAGAATTGGGGCACTGCAGTGATACCAAAGTCTATTGACAACTAATGTCGGATAGAGTGCTTTATTATCCTTAGCCAAAAAACTGAATATATTTTCAAGTAACTCCGGAAGAATAAGAGGGTGACTCATATTTAGTTCTTTATATAAGCACAGATAGTACAAAAGATTAAAAATTCATTGCATCTCTGAAATCTCAATCTGGTTAGGTAGAATGTTTATTATCTTTTAACCCTTCTATTTCCTTTTCTAGATCAAGAGGGGTGTCCCATCGAAGTGAGAAAGACTCGGATCTGGGTTTATTCAGATCTATAACTATAAACTCTTTTTGCCTCAAATAGCTGTCAATAATTTTTGAAGCTTTTTGTGAATCTACATCAGTGTAAGGACTTATAATATCTGCAAGTTTTCGAATAGAGCCCCCACCATTAAAGAGAACAATGTGAGTAGCATTTTCATGAATATCTATTGGAATTTTGTGGAATTTCTGAGCAATGTAAATTGAGAAGATATTCTCATGACGACCCTGGTGAAAAATGGAATAATTTTTTTCTGTATAGCTGGAGGGTCAGAGTAAAGATCTTCAAATATCGCTAATATACTTCTTTTAGCATTAAACTTTTTGGAATCTGGGATTTTATCAGGAGATAGTGAAGAAAATATGACATCTTCATAATAGGGCTTTAATTTGTCTTGGGCAAGATATTTATAAAAATCTCGACCTATTTTATATTTTGGCTATTTAAATGATGTCCGAAAAGAAATACATCATCGCATTTAACATTGCGTTCTCCTATCTTAGAATGCTTTTTTTTCTTAAACATGTAATAAAATTTGGGCATTGTTAGCAAGTTTAAATTCATATTGGTCTTATCTGAATTGCTAGCCCTGCCATCACAATATGAAAAGGCCATGCTGATGCATCTTTATCCCCCTAGTATTTTTTCGAAGGTTTTACTTCATCCACGGCAAATACACAATATAATATCTTTTTGTTATAAATATATATTATGTTTTTTTTATTCTGACGAATAATCTGATTTTGACATGCTATTTATATCTATATTTTGTAGATAACCTTTCTCTTGTAATTTGTGTTTTATATATGAGAATAAATCAGCACCATATGGTATTTCAATAAGATCTATATCTCGCTCTTTGCATATTTTCCGCTTTTTTTGATCGCGTTTCCTCTGCGATTCTAGATCATCTTGATTTTTGTGATATAAACTATTGCAATGGTAGTGTTGAACTCCCTGGAATTCGTATGCCAATTTTAGCTCTTCATTATACCCGTCTAATTGCATCTCATTCAAAAATGATGGTTTACAAGATGGAAATTTCTTACATAACAGATCTTCGAAAATATATCTACAGCGACACTCATCGGTATGATAGAAGCAAAGTGGACACCATTCAAATTTCATAGCTATTAATGGATATAGATATTCCCACTGATGCTTTCCATTTTCACAGGACCAGAGATATACATCGAAATCATTTATTTGGCCAATTTTACCAAGACATTTTCTGTCACACTTCTCAGCATATACAACAGCTTTAGCCATTTTATTAATAATACGAACAAAATTAATAGACCTGAAACGAGTGTTTTCCTCCAATATACTCTGAGGTAGATACTGAAGTTTTTCTAGATTAATTAGCATTAATTCTTCATATACAAACCCACGTGTTGGTGCGAATTCTCCATTTAAATAATATAAAACTGGTTCGTTTTTCGTTACCACGATTTTGTAGATTTTATGTAATGAAGGACTCCATACTGGATCTGTGGCTCTTTTTTGATTCTCCATACCTCCCTCTCACTCTGCATTAGCAAGCAAATAACGAACTGTATTACCCTTCTTTAAATTATTCTCCTTATTTTTTCCAACTGGACACTTATATTTTGTAGATGGTCTAGATTCTACCTTTTCTAACTTGATGGCTTCCTTGGGAGCTAAACCCCACTTTGAAGAACCTGGAGCTCAGATGAGACATGTTGGATAATTGTTTAGGTAATCGATAACTTTTGGCAAATGCTTAACTCATGCTCTTATTAGTTTAGAGTTCGAAGTTATACTTTCGACAGCATATTGGACTTTATATAGTATTTCTGCTAGAGTTTTATTGAAACGTTTCACAAGAGCTAGACCTCGGTGGCTATATGCACTAATTACTCGAATTGTGACATTTATGTACTTCCATTATTTTTGAAGTTTCACCCATGAATTCTTTACCACCAAAAATAGTTAGCAATTTAGGCTAGGTTAATGGAATTGATGAACTATTATAAATTTTCTTGAATGCTTTAGTAACTTCAGAGCTTTTCTTCGACATGAGAGGAACTGAAGCCTTATATCTCGACGCACAATCCACTATATTTAGCACTACTTTGTATATTTTTTGCTTATAATGATCATGAGTAAGAAAGAGTATATCAGCTTGATGTACACAATTCGGACGTAAAATTTTGCTATAACCAACCCATGGAGTATCTTTTGGTGGTGGTACGTATTTTTGCCATTCATTCTGGTTTGTAAGCCACTCATATACTTTTTTATATAGAAACTGATACCCCTCTGCTTTAAGATCTTTCCATAATTTTCGGGGGTTGGAATGATACCCTGTGGGTTGGTAAAAAAACAATTTACAGATTAAGTTTAATTTCTCATCTGGATCTATAATAATTCTAGATTCCATATTAAATCTAAGTATATAAAATAAAAATGTCTCGATTGAATATTCTTTAGAAACTGTACGTGCGATAGCAATACAAAAAGGTGGAGAGTGTATTTTCACAGAATACAAAAATAATATGTCTTATCTTTGGTGGAGATGTAATAAAGGTCATGAATGGCAAGCGACTTTAAATAAAGTGAAAGATAAAAATACATGGTGCCCGTATTGCAGAAAAATTACAATCGAAAATATGCAAGAGAAAGAGGAGGGCAGTGTTTATCGACTATATATATTGATTCACATACACCTTTGAATTGAAAATATGCTAAAGAGCATTAATGGTCAGTAACTCGATCAAATATATATAATAATAAAAGTTGGTGCCGTAAATGTTTAACAGAAAAAAGTCGTGGATCGATTCAGATTATGCAACAGATTGCAGAAAAAAAAGGAGGACGCTGTCTTTAAACAGAATATATAAATTGCAATACTAAACTTGACTGGGAATGTGCTAAAGGTTATCAATGGTCAACAACTCCAGATATTATTTCTCAAGAATCATGGTGTCGAGTTTGTCACTATTCTTCTAGAATAATTCATACTATTGAAGATATGTATCAAATTGCACAAGAAAAAAATTAATATTGTCTTTCAACAACATATATTACATCAAATACTCCTCTCGACTGGAAATGTGTTAAAGGTCATTATTGGTCAACAGCACCAGGTAATGTTTTAAGAGGATCATGGTGTCCAACTTGTGCTGGGTTTAATCGAACTATTGATGATGTACACTAATATACCAAAATGCTAAAAGAAAAATGTCTTTCAAATTCTTATAAAAATGCACATACCAAACTTCTCTGAATCTGTAAACATAATTATACCTGGGAGGCTTCTTTTAATAATGTAACTAATAATTCATGGTGCCCTTTTTGTTTAAAATATAAACAGAAACGTTTATGTCATAATATTGCTACAAAATTATTAGGTCAACCACCATCTACGATACGCAGACCTGATTTCTTAAAAATGCAAAAATGTTCAAAGGGTTTAAAACTTGACATACCATATTATAATTTAGGCTTCACTATTGAAGTGCAGGGAATACAACAAAAAATATCATGTATTCTTTTAGAGAGGCGATCCCAATAATTTTATTAGGCAACAAGAGTATGATCAATTAAAAAAAAATTATGTGATAAGAATGATATCTATCTCTTTTATATATGGTACGACAATAAAGATCTGGAAAAGACTATTAGAGATGAACTATTTGCACTAGGTTTACTTGATTAAATCATTTATAGATCTTATTAATAATATTTCTTAATTCAATAAGTTATATATTCTTTTTTTATAATTTGCAATTCCTCATCAGTACTAATTATGATACTAGGTTGGTTTATTTTCGATACATTTTACTATATTAATAAATTATTATTTGGTAAAGTTTCCAAAAGTGTCAATATATTATAGGCTTGTACAATGCCATTGGATACAATAGTGTCTCCACCTAGTGAAACAATTAAAAAATTCGAAGCTAGTTTGCAGATAATAAAAAATCGATTCCGCAAATTACAATGTGATCTAGATTTAAAAGAGGATTATATTAATTACATTGAAAAAGAAATCTCAATTCATGATGAGGAGCTAGACCTATTAAGATCAGAAATTTCTAATCTTATAAACAGTTAGAAAATGTATTTAAAGAATCTGAAAAGCAAGAAAATTATATAGATTATTTAGAAAAGCAGTTAGTATTTTTTCAGAATGAAATAGACAAGGTTAATAAAAAAATACTTGTTTTGTATAAAAATTCTAATGATACTATTGAGATGGTACAACAACCAGGATCATCTAGATTATCTCTACCTGAAAATCAAGCCATGACCCAAAATAATAGAATTCAGCAAAAGATTAATAATATTAGACAGTATTTTCAAAGCCCAGTCATAATAGCACCTACAATAAATGGTATTGTAGATTATCTTAATATAATTTCAGATGCCGGCAATAGGTTTGAAAGATTGG